CTCTTTCCCAGACAATGCTTCAAGTTCCTTTGAATCCCTTACTCTCCTTAAAATTCACTCCAAACTTACTAAGAATCTATAGTGAAGAAGATATCTCTCACTTCTCCTCTTCTCCTCCAAGCCCCCAAGACTTTCTCCTCTCTAGGAAGAATCCACTTATCTACAAAAGACTCCCTTTTCCTCCTCCAAAAGTTTCTCTTTTGAATCTCCAGAAGTCTCTTTAAATAGTGCTCTCAAAACCAACAAGATTTTTTTCATGCACATCTACAGAGTTCATCCAAATTCAATAGATCTTCTAGATAACCATCTCTAATGCTTATGTGTCATATCAACATTGGTCTTTTTTGCTTCATTTAACTCCAAGTTGCTTCATTTTCATTTTATTCGCTCTATTTAATTCATTTAGTGTGCTTATAACAAAAAATATCAAAAATATTTTTCATTAAAGTACAATATCATTAAAAATAGACATTAAATGTGCAAATGAAAGCAACATATTTTAGGCATGTCACTAGGCTCTTGCCCAATGGGCTTTTCTTAGGCTAAAAAGAATTCCAAAAGTAGCCAATGGGTCATTGAGGTAATTCCGAGGGCTCTGAGCTCCGTGGGTAGCTTAGGGCTTCTTCTACCTTTAGGAATTCAGCTTGTGCTTTCCATGTTCTAAACTCCAACCATCTCAACTAACGGGTGAGGATTTGGGCTTAACCTTAGGAAACCTTAAGTGAATGTAGAATTTGTTAGAATTCATATATGGGTGAGTCTCATTTCTAGTCATCTAAGAAGGTCACTAGAAAACTATAAGGCTCGATCCCAGGCTTTTACAATAAGAAAAGGGACCCTCACAAAAGTGAGGTCAACACCCACCTCCTTGAGATTTTGCACCTCCTTGAGATTTTGCACCTCCTCGCAAATTAGCCCGACCAAAGTCATGGATAACGATCAGATCTTCTGTCTCACTGGTCAGGTGACTAAATTTACATTTATTGGAATGTCCGACATCTCAGCGGCCGACCAGGGAAAGACATCACTGTACTCGTAGAGAGTCTAGATCAGCAAATCTCGATGCCCTACATCAAATGTATCTCTAATTAGAACAACTTTGCCATGTTCTTCGAGCTTGGTGAGGATCTCGATGGTAGTTTTGTCGTTTTCAAGACCTCATTCCTGTTAATGTTGGATATCCAATGCTTATTATTTCAAGTTTCCTACCAGTTGTAGGTAACATGTCCGAGACTGCTCCATATTCTCACGCACTGTCATAATTTCTCCATCACATGAGGAGTTCACTGCCACATAGTATGTAGATACCACTACTGTGAAATTGTTAAGCAGTGGGGAACCAAAGATTACGCTGTAGGTTGGAGGTATATCGACCACCAAGAAGTCCAACTTATTGGTAAATTGACTCACACCCTCTCCTCAGACAACTGACCGCCATATTATGACTAAA